CTTGCGTACTTCCTTACGTGTTGCGTAAAAGAGTACGCGCAGGCTGTTGAAGGTATGTTAACCAATCAAAAGCGTCAGCGGCAAATCAAATTAAAGCGCTTCGTAAACAAGGCACAGCACAGTCATCGTAGGCAGGGCGTATAAGCCCAGTGAAATACTTCAGTTTTCCTTGCTATAAAAATCATCTTTCCCGTGGGTATATTTTGGTAAACTTTTTGTATGTTGTAGATATAAAATTTAACTATATATATATATTCATAAAAAAACGTTTTGTTGCAATTATGTCCAATTTTGGTGCTTCAAATCCGTATTTCTGGTGGACTAGAACTAAAGATAAAAATGAATACTGTATATAAGACCTGTCATAGAAAGTTCACTAAAAAGTCACAGTAAACAACACCACACATTTGCTGATAACCGAATCCCCATGTGGATACTTTGTTTAGTAAACATGATACCTCAGACCTGGACAGTACAGTAAGGCAGTTAGAACGTACACACACGCTCCCGCTGGGAGCCTATTTCTTGCTTATGTTGCTGTTTGTCTTGAGAACCACACTTATTCCGATGTCGCACGTGACACAAAAGCGTAGAATCTTTCGATTACCGACATGAATGTGTATTCCTTATCATGTTTTTGTACGTTTCTCACTAAAATATTCTCTGTATTATTTTATTTACACCTAGATAGAGTACATATGCCTACTGTAGGCCTATACCAGTTCCGGAAGTTGGCCTCTGTAATCTATGTTGGTTTTGCACAGACTGAAATTTTGGTTTTTATATTAACCTTTTCACGCGAAGTCTCAACTATTGTTTAGTTTTCAGCCAATCAGCAGCAAGTCTCAGTACCCAAAACATATAAGTATTTCACTGTTTTGGAATTTCTGCAGATATTCTCCTGAAGACGATTGAAGCAACTCAATCAAACGTCTAGATATTCTGCAACCAACAACAGCAGTTCTTTTCAGAACTATCTACGTGCCGCAGGTATTAATATGGTTTTGTTATAAAATGTCTAAAAGTATTTCATTTCATGGAACAAGGCTGTGTTCTCTGACAACGCAGTTAACAGTTCATATATGCCATACGCTCTGAGCGCAAGGAGGAGAAGCCCACTTAGACCCCCCCCCCCCCCCGACTTTGACCCTCCACTTAGACCCCCCCCCGGCCCCGACTTTGACCCTACGCGGCCCTTTGGCCCTCAGCGTCTGTTTGTTCGCTCTGCTCTCAAACTTAACGCTCGATTCGCACGCTTACTATAGGGCCCCCAATAACAGTCACCGCCAGGGTCTCACAAACTCCGTGACGCCACATTGTGATGAAATGAACCATAGCATCGGGGTAACCCCCTTCTTCCGAAATGTGCAATAGGCTTTAAAGTGCACACGAGCCAGATGTGTACACTGGACCGCCGTCTTAAGTCTTTATCAGAGAAGACTTGGTTCTACAAATCGAAACATGAGCGAGGAGCGGCTGACCAATAAACTTCCAACAATTATAGGCTTACATTTCTTTAAGTAGAAACGGAAGCTTTTCGTAGCACTCCCGATTCATTGTGGCTGAATGGAAGCGGATGATATACGAGTCCACACCTTAATGATGTGTGTGCAGATTTTATATGTGTGAAAAAAAATACAGATTAAAGGACATACCTCTCTACCTCTATTATATTTTGGCTTTAGTTAAGTTCACCTTACCTACTCTTTGTCCCGCACTGGTTTGCGCATATCCTCAAAAGAATGCCTCCTTCATCAGCTGCCTATGCTTGCGTTCTTCCTCATAATGTACATCCAGATTTGTTTTTCTTTTTTTTTTCTCTTTTTCCTCTCTCCACCACCATGTTGTCTTATTTTAGTTCCCATGTCATTCAGGTTGCATGCCATGAAAATGTTGCAATCATTTGTATGATTTGTTTTAAGATTTCACCAAATAATTTACATCACTCAGTGATCTCACCTTCGTTTTTGCAAGTAATTATCTGTTGGTTATTTTTTAAATCCTATCTTAACATGATTATCAAGCAATTATAATACGTCAATTTGTGTTTCAAACGAATATATTATCACATGAATTGTTGCACATTAACTATTCAAAATATAGTTTATAACCTGTTTTGTCATTACCTGAAATACAGTATTTTTATTTTAATGTGAATGTGAATTTACAATTTTTTCAATACATTATCACATGAATTGCTGCACCTTAACAATTCAAAGTGTAATACTTGTATAGTTATTACACAAACAATTTTTTTTCCTTTCCTTTCTATAGGCTCTGCTAATATTGTTTTATGTGAATTTTCATTTTATTTCAATACATAATCACACGACTTTGAATAACATGTTAACTATTTGTCATTATGTTAACTTTTACCCCCTGCTTCTAGAAATACCGGGATAGAGCATTTATATTTTGTCTGCAAAAACCAAATCAATCTTATTGCATTACTGTAGATAAACAATAGCACGGATAAAAAAAAAAAAAAAAAAACGTAATGAGCCGGCCATCTGGCTTTTGATCGAAAAGTGACGTTTGGTAATTTAATTCATTTCGTCAGAGATACTTTATTACCATGTAATTAACTCTGAAACATTTTAATGTATGTATTATATTATATATAAATATATTATAAACAAATATATAATAACAGTGCTTAGATAGGTTCATGGAATGTTATTACGTATCGTATCAAGCATTGCCCTTCAGTGAAGAGTTATTTTTGTTAAGTTGTATAATAATAGAGTCTGTAGCGAGATTCGAACCTGCAGCCTCCTGCTATCTCCAGGCACTCTCTTCCATTTACATGACTTTTACGCTTTACTTTATTATATATGGGCTGCGCCCTCTATAGTTCAGTGGTGTCGATTATAAACAAGCTCTCCACACATGACCGGTGTCCATGTCGTTCGAACGAAATCATTTCGAGGGAACGAATCATTTCGTTCCCTCGCAATAACATTTTGTTCCCTCGAAATAATATATATATGGATAT